GCCTGTAAACTCCAGAAGCCCCGGACAAAGAAGCAAGTGGACAAGGGAGAGGCCGTCTTTTCACTCTTCCGAGTATTGAAGGTGCAATGCCAGCCTGTACTTGCGAGCCATTTTCCCAACGACCTGGCAGGGGCCGACCCCCCTGCTGCAAGATTGTGCAAGCTTTTGAGTATGCCGCATAAGGTCCTCGCCAGAGAAGCACCATACAGTCCGTGGAGACACATACTCGCTGTAGTCGGCGATGTGTTGGTGCAGGTGAAATTTGCTGGTGATATCAAAGATTTGGAGACCAGCATGAGCGAAATGTGTCGCGACAGCAGCATGCAAAAGCAGCATATTCGTGGTGGCTTTCCGGAAAGCTTGAGCCCCCTCGGCAGGGAACTGTAACACATCTTTGTATTCTGTAAGCACCGATTCCATCAGAACGTTCTGCTTGAGCATGAGGCTGATCTGTTGATGGACATGAAGCCGAGGGTTGCAGAAAAAAAGCCATGTCTCCAACAAAGGTCGTACAAGATAACGGACTTCATAGGCCTTGCCTCGAAGCTTCGGATATCCGCTCTTCCGAATATACATGGAAGTCTTTGTCAAAGCACGAAACCGCTGACCAGCTGCAATACCAAGCTTGACATAGCACTCCTTCAGTTTTTGCCAAACAACCCGAAGGTTTTCATGTGGTTCATGCGGAAGTATCAAATGGCAAAGGAGGTATATCACCGAGGCGAACATATACATGTCGGTGCCCAAATACTTCGTGTGCATCAGGTCCATTGCCACGACGTGGCATGATGTTGAAGGAACCCGGAAAATTGGGTTCTGAGATCGGTTCGGATCTGCAATCCAATCTTTCGCCTTCCACACAGTTGTCCTCCATGCTGCATCTGTTCTAAAATTAGTGAAGGTGAGGGCTCCCTTGGCCTGGGCCTTGCATAAGCAGCAGGGGCTTGTCGAGCTTCCGTAATGCTGCAGCTGCAAAACTCCTGCGAACCAGTCCAAATCTCCAATGATTCCAAGCAGGACACAGTAGAAGCCTCCTGCAAGCGGGGACAGAGCCCGCTTGTGATCCAGAGTTCCCTTCTTGTACCTCAGGTGATCCGAAAAAAAGGAATAAAAGTTCACCCTCAAAGTAAGAAAACCGTAAACCGTATAGGTTTTCATCCTTTAGGCCCTCTGAAACGAAAGCTTAGGGCCCTAAACCCTAGGCCCTAAACCCCTAACCCTAAACCTGGTCTCGGGGTGCTTGTTCGTGTGGGGTTTACTATGGCTAGCTGATTGTATGATTTCTGGATTGAAGGGAATGCCTTGGTATCCGCACAATCTAAGGGTTATATCTGTCGCTCTATATATAAGTATAGTATGCCATGTTTCCATGGCATAAAATATGCAAGGATTTTAAGGAACTATGGTTTTAGTTTTAGGGTTTGAGGGGTTTTTTAGGGTTTAGGGCTTTCAATAAATGGATATAGTCTGATGATGTACAGGAGGCTCACATGGAAAAAAGAGATGATGAAGAGTCCAAAGGCACTTGACACCATTGAAATCTTTATCCGGCCATTGGCCTCGATAAAGCCACGTCAGCGACCATGCGAGTATTCTGAAGAAGGTCTCAAGAGTAGGCTCGCACTCGTCGGACTTGTTCAAGCGATACTTTTCAGGGCAGGAATATATCCAGATGAGCTTCTCAAGGGTTCGGGATGCTGTACCCATGAATGAATACCAACTCAGTGTGGACAGCTTCGAAACCCAACATTTGCCGAGTCCAGAAACCGGGCAATCGTCTCCGTGGACACCGATAGGTATCGCTTTCGTGAAGCGATCTTCCCGAGACAAGACATCGTGGTCTTCGCGGGCGGGGTGTCCAGCAACTTTCGTCCAAAAAGGTCCAAGATCCTCTGGCCGAGGCAGGATATGTGATCGGAATGCAGGCCCATAAGAATGGAAAAGCGATGAGAATACTTCATGTGGCAGCATTATCTGCTGCCTGAAATCGCCCATCTTGAACCTCATCTTGACTTCCATCGGTTGAGGGAGCTTCACGGCGGGTTCGAGTTTCGCCATAAGTTGCGAATAACATTTCTGTTTATCTCTGCCTGACTGGCCAATGCTGGCCAAAGCAACAAGATCATCGGGAATGTCGTCCTCGGGGCACCGCCTTCGAAGATCCTTTAAGGACAAAGATGCCAAGTTCTGAGCTTCCTGGGGGCTTATGTCCCCCCAGGCAAACTGCTTCACAAGATGCTGGGCCAGAAAACTTGTATTGGGCCCATTCTCCAGCTCCTCATCTTCTTGCCTCTTTCGTTTTCTCTGCTGCAGGCCACCCTTTCGCTCCATCCCGGAATCGCGAGACCATCACAAGCCTGAAAGTCTTCATCTCGCCACCCTTTTGCTCCATCTCGTTTCAGCACAAAACCATTTTAGGCCTAGGATCCTTTGTGTATGTTGGGGGCTTTTGGGCTGGGGAATATGTTGCAACATGGGCCTTGAGATATCACAGGGATGGGTCGCTCGAGCTTGTTTCAGCTTGTCGCATTTGTTCTTTGTATATGTGTCAATACTGTGTGAGGATCCGAACCTTCGTCCATACCTAATGATTATGGTTTCTACATATGCAAAAGCCATAAACAACTTCAAGCTCTGAAACTTGATCGGCGACGAGTCTTTGAATTGTTCAGGGTTCCAGACTGCCTCAAAGGGAAGCACATTCTTCCTATATTCATCACCTGGTACATCCCAAACACACTCCGAAGCCCTAAACCCCAAACCTTAAGCCCTGAAGCCTTGCCAGCCTTGTGCGAAATTGAGCAACGAAACCCTAAACCCTAAAGCTTAGGACCCAGAAGTGCAAACATAAACTTTTCCCACGATTGAGAAACCTTGAGAGAAAAACCCCACATGTCTTGGCAGAAAATACCTTGAGAGAAGAGCCAACCCTAAACCCTAAAGCTTAGGACCCAGAATTGCAAACATAAGCTTTTCCCAACGATTGAGAAACCTTGAGAGAAAAACCACATGTCTTACCTTGAGAGAAGAGCCTGTTCCTGTGAGAAACCTTGAGGGACTACCGAGGGACTTCGAGGGCACATAGGTAAAAGAACGACGGGGAAAAACCCATCCAAACAGACATGCCTGGCACGGTCTCCACGATCTTCGGCATCGCCCCCAGCCACCATCTGCCACACCTGCAGGCATCTATACTGCTAGGAGGGTTTCTGCAGTGGCTTCGGGGTCGTTCCCTGGCTTTGTGCCTTTACACATTTTCTGGGGCCTAGGGGTGTCTTCTGCGAAAAGTAGATTCACATACGGATGTAGATATATGGCGCTTTTTGGTTTTGTATGTATAACAAGTCCATCCCCTTTCGAGGCTCCCACATTCCAACACATCATCTAGGAAATGGAGCTGGTGATATCAACATCCACCTGAACCCCAAAACCCCTATAAATTTGCAGCACCGGCAAAGTCCACGAGATCGCAAAAACAGATCCCAAACAGAGCCACCCCAATAAACCCTAAACCCTAAAACCCTACACCCTAACCCTTATAAGCCAACTGAAC